ACAAGTGTCTGTTTACATTTATGCAGGAAGATATGCATCCTATAGAGATGCAGGTGAGATCGTGCCATGTGTTATTACATGAGATGATTCATTAATCACGCACTAGTAGTTCTAAAAGTCGCCAACTGCTTAAGTTACTCAATGACACAATGCCTGGTATCTCATTCTGTGCTTGTGTCTCTCTATTGTTTTACCGACTTTGTTGAGTTCTTTCAACTAGTAAATGACGTATTGTGAACAAGAATATCACACTGATATGTGTGACTGTTTATGTATACCAACAATAGGCCTTAGGTCTTGTTTGTAAACAAACGTATTCCGTCATGAATAACGAAGAAACATATCGAATTATTAGATTTCATTTATTCGATTAAAAAAATATGGAACTTATGAGTCTGTTGTTGTCTGTGTTGTTCAGCACTGGGCTTGATGGAAGCTGTACCTTGAATAAGACGACATCAGTTGGCTCTCGGGCTCTTGTCTGCAAGCAAACGGTTTAACATCTCGTAAATACCTGTTTTATACATTACAGTATCACACCTCTGCAGCTTCACATAACATAGAGGGCGGCGGGGTAGCCTAGTGTTAAAGCGTTCGCTCGTCACGCCGAAGACCTGGGTTCGATTCCCCACATGGGTACAATGCTTTGAGCTTATTATATATAGTAGGATATACAGCAGGAATATTGCTAAAAGCGGAGTAAAACTAAACTCACTCACTTACATGACATAGAACAGCATATGACATTAAACGACTGCATTAAAGACGAAACGCAAACATTTTTACTCTGATATGACAAAAGCACAACATTTCGTTCTAAAGTAAGAATTCACACACAGCTGCCCTGTACACTCCAGTGACATTTACATACTATTAGATATTTCCAAATAACTTCTAAAATCTTCACGTTTTTGAGGAGTTAAATGAGGTGTTACACTACCGATCCTGTTCTCGTAATAAATGACACAAAACATGGTAGGAGTTTAGGGAGGAGGGTCCCTTAACGCCGTGTTCACAGATTATTTCACTTAAGTGGCGACGTTTAAAGGCCGGTTAAATAGTGCAGTCAACTGACATGTCTCGCAGAAGTTAAATATCAATACTTTTCTGATTTCACTCCTCACTGCCGATCGACGGAAAGAGTGAGAAGTACCATTCTTTAACGTCGTTTGGTTTGACGCAACCGGGGTTGAAACCACAGACCTTTCGCTGTCAGGGCATGTGCACTATCCAATAGGCCACATCGGCGGTCTACTAGGAATGAAGAACTCTCTTACCTTATGGTTCTTCTGGTTCTCGTGGTCCAAGCAGGATGGGTCGGCATGTTTGCACGAGCTTATCAGGATGAGGGGCCCGCCTATCACGGGACAGAACGCGACCAAGAAGGGTGGCCAGCTCTTGCCCGCGTTTATTAGGTTGTGGATTCCTCTCGCGGAATACTTCCCCCAGTAGCTCCTGTTCTTGGAGAGCTCGGATGCAGCCGAGAGCCAAGATGTCCCGCACTGTGACAGGAGCCTGGAGAAGATGGACAACGATTTAAAAGGATGCCATTGTTTCAAAACCTGTTGCAAACTAAAATCTACGGGGCTTTGGTGTGTAGATTTTCATTTCTCTCTCTTTCCTATTCAAATTCTTCTCTCTTTTTAAAAAAAAAAAGAAAAAAAAAAAGAGTTTTCATTATCTGGACCTGGATACATGATCCATCCTCGCTTGTCCAGGATGATTTTTTCTCCATTCTATGAAGATAAATACCCCGGGTCGTAATTAGGCTGCTTAGCATTAGGAAGGGACATTAAGATATTCCCTACAATAAACGTAAACCAAAGGACGTAGGTCTGGGTTGTCAAAAGACAAATAGAAAATGGAAATCCAAATGTCATTACGCTGGAACGTGTGTGTGAGTGTGTCTTTGTGATTGTTTGTGCTTGAATATGCGTGTTCGTGTGTGTGTGTGGTTACATTATAAAGTGACACATGAGTGAGTGTTCATTTTTACATCTACATCAATATATATATATACCTCTATATGCGTGTTGTTTGAAGGTTGGTGACGATGTGAGTTTGAGTCGTAACCAAATCCAACCATACAGCTACAAATAAACATGAAACGTATTGCGGATGACCTTGTCTAGCTGTTGCCTACCGATAAGTCTTCCAGAATTCCCCCAAAGGGTCGCGGTGGTGGATTCATTTCTCCACCGCCTGCTGTGACGAAGGCCACGCCCATCACAAACAGCAACGCAACACACTGTGCTTTCATTTTGAGGCTGAAAACAAAGAAACAGATACAGATAAATTCCATACAAATATACAAATAGACTCCCAATATATTATCTTGTGTTGGATTATCTTGACAGTTTGCAGTATACAATATCAATGTAGGCCCGTGAAGATCGGGGTTAGAATAATATTTACTGGTCTTCAGCAACTAACGGGATCGGGTGGTCAGGCTCGCTGAGGTTGTTGACACATGTCAACGTATCCCAGTTGCGTAGATAGATGCTCATGTTGTTGATCACTGGATTGTCTGGTCCAGACTCGATTATTTACAGACCGCCGCATTATTGCTCGCGTACGGTGTAAAACAACAAACAAACAATATCTTAATAATAATAATAATAATAATAATAAGGCCTAAAGAATAGCAAGGAGCCTTGGTCCATCCATTGTAAAGAACAACAGACACGTTATATAAAGACACAGTTACAAGGAGTTCTGGTTTAATGTTTGATGTACTCTTTACAAATAAAAGTGACCAAACCCTTTCTAGATTCGTAAGAAAACTGTGTTCGATTATTCCGACTATATCATTAGCATGTGTTTAATATGAATCAATTTCAAATAGTGATTATACCAGGTGTGCACGAGAAGTAAGCGTATCCTGCTCACCAGTGGCACAAGTCATTAACACATGCCAAGGCTAGTCATTTGTCCACGTGAAAAACACGGCTCCAAACAGCCTTACAAAAACATAAGTGTTGTTTCAAATGCGAACATATACTGAAGGAAACAAATAAGGGAACACCAATTCATCGCAGTGTTCCTCTGTTTATTCAGATTCGCACCCACAGTGCGATACAAAGCTTTTTAAGGAACCTTGAAAAAAATAAAGGAACATTTGTACTTTCATGTGTTCCCTTATTTGTTTCCCTCAGTATATTTCTTTTCATTCATTTGGACACATCTCATCACTTTGACACAAGTTTCTTAATTTTGACTGAAATTCTTGGGTTCGTATGGGTAAAAAGAGGCTCATACCGTGAACCTTTAAAATCAATATACAATTGATATGTTACTACAATACTGTATGACCGATAGATGTAGCATTTTAGTATCAACATGAGCTTGACGTGAAGCAAATGGTCGTGAATTGTTTCAAATGGTCAGTGAAAGTATACACGTGTGATTTCAGTTCAG